AAAAAAAAAAGAAAAGAAAAGATGTTATTTATTTTTATGTAGAACTAGGGTACAGACCAGAAGTGTGAGGGGTGAGAAGATTCACCAGAGACAGAGTAGGGAGCAGAACAGGCAGATGTACTGAAATACACGGCTGTGAGGAGCAGCGAGACAGGAAGTCTGCTGCACCATGTGAGTCAGCTCCCTGGCTGAGGATCGAACTTATGTCGCAGTGGCCACAGATAGCTTCATGGTGCTGAGACTTAACCTCTTGCAGGGAGGCCCCAGCACACTTGCCTTTGTTAGAAGTATAGGATCCAGTAAACCCTGCCTAAGGAAATAAACGACCATTGCCTCTGACTGTTAGTGGAATTCTCAAGGCTTGAAAGCTTTATTGCGCCAAACTGCATCTCATCTTCATGAGAGCATAGACATGAAAATACCTTGTGAGTCAAAAGAAAAGAAGGGGAGGAGGGGAAGTCTGAGGAGGAGGGGGAGAGGGTGTGGGAGTGGAGAAGGTTGAATGGGAAGAGGTGGAGTAGAAGGATGAGGTGGTGAAGGAGGAAGAGGAGGAAGAGAAAGGCAAGTATTTAGAGAAACCCACTTCCTTCCCAAAGCTTCATGGGCGTAACAGTCCATTTTTTAAACTAAAGTCCCTTTTGTATGTGGCCTACCCATTATCTTTCCATTTATACATCTCTCTTCATCAATTATTAAGCCTAATGTTGTACCATTAAGGGCATAATTATCAGTAATAATTAACTACATTAGATTATTCTTAAGTTCAAGAAGTTCTCTCCAACATCTCTCCCTGAGGGAGACAATGGACTTTAAGCAGCCTCACGCTGTCTCGAGGTCCTGCCTCACCATTTGGGAAGGGATAAAACAGAGTCCAGGGAAGTTTTGGGGATACAAAAATGTTCTGCTCATTCTGTCAAGGGTACTAATATTTTTCCCAGTCCTCACCTTGGCCTCATCCTGACCTCCCTCCCTTACCCCAAGACCTGCTCTCACTCATTTACCAAAACCCTGACTCTGTCTTCACATTGTCACGGACATTCACACTTTTCATATCACCCTGATGCAGGCTGTCTTTATCCTGCAACAACATCATGGCAACAGGCTTCTAATGATCTCTAGTCCCTCTCCACCCAGGTCGACAGTTACCTCTCCAAAGCACAACCCTGATCACATCATATCACTTCCCTATTTAAATCAGTAGTTCGAGGAATTCATCAAGACTTCTAGTTAAAGTTACCTCTACTGAGAAAATAGCAAGAGTTTAAAATTTAAGAGTGTGAGGGGAGGGAAGAGCACAAGGAACTGTGGTGATGGGTCATGGGTGTGTTGTGGTGGGAGAATTATAGGGATTACAGCTGAGGGGAGAAACTGAACACTACCCAAAAGTCAACAAAAATGTAAGAAAACAGATTAATTGAGTTGAAGCCCTCCCTGGTGGTGCAACAGGTTAAAGCAAAACTATGAAGCTGGCTGTAGCTGCTTCAGCACAAGTTTGATCCCCGGTCAGGGAGGTGACCCACATGGTGTAGCAGACCTCCCGACCCTATAAATAAATAAATCTTAAAAAAAAAAAAAAAAGAGTTGGAATGCTTACCTAACCTCTCATTATCTCGGCGATCCTAAGATCTATATGTCTCAATTTTCTCTTGTGACAGGGTTTTGCAGAAATCAAATGAGATTATGAGTCAGTAATGATTGGCAATCAGCTGGCCATCAAGTCCTTTTTCTCCCTTTCTCTCTTCCAAGAGGACACCCTTGAAGACAGTTCACAAGAGCAATGAGGGCCACTGAAGTATGTCTCCCCATCCCCCCAAATTTACATGCTGATTATATTTGGAGAACAGATACCTTTAGGGTGGTAATTAAGGGTAAATGAGGTCAGAAGGGTGGTGGACTGGTCCTTATAAGAAAAGGTACTCTTGGCCCTCCCTGGTGGCGCAGCGGGTTAAAGCACAGCACTGAGAATCTAAAGCCGCTTCTGCATGAGTTCGATTCCCGCCTGCCCAGGAGGTGACCACATGGCGTGGCGGACCTCTCCTGACCCACCGCTGCTCCCCTCAGCAGTGTACTTCGTCGATCTGCCTGTTCTGCTCCCCGCTCTGTCTCTGGTGAAACCTCTCGCCACCCCAAAGCCTCTGGCCTGTACCCCAGTTCTGTATGTACAAATAAATAAATCTTTAAAAAAAAAAAAAGAAAAAAAGAAAAGGTACTCTTTATCTCTCTCGCTCTCACTCTCCTCCACCCCCGCAACCCCTCTCTACATCCCCATGCACAGAGAA